ATAATGGAAGTTGGAATGTGGAGTATATGAGAAGAATCATGGGGGAAGATCTTGTTAGTCTTATCATACAAACCAATATTCCAAGTGGGCTGGATGAAGAAAAAATGGAACTTTTATTCCAGAGCAATGGAAGATCCTTATCTTCCATGATATTTGAGAATTCAGTGAATCATTCAGAGCCGGAGCAGTTCTGGAGCTGGGTCAAAAAAGCTAAGCTTAATCCGAAGGTGGAGACACTATGGTAGAGGATCTTCAATAATGGCCTGCCTTCTAATGAATTCCTTGAACATAGAAGATTGCAAAGGGATAATCTATGCCCAAGAAGTTGCAAAGAAGCAGAAAATAGAGATCATGTAGCAGCAAAATGTGAGAAACTAAAAGATGTTCTTAAACAAATCAAGGAATGGGGCTTTGTATTTCAGGAATTTGATTCATTATCAGATTGCTGTAAGTACCTCACATCAAAAAATTCTTTTTTGATTAATCTGTATTATACTGTGGTGTACTTAACTTGGAAGTCAAGAAATAATCTTATACGCAATGGGAAGGAAGATAACATATTGTTTATTGATTCCAATACAATAAGCTATGCTTCAATTTCTGCTCAAGGGATTAGTAGATTTTCGGGTATATGGGATGTCAACCAACCTTCTAGGTTGTCTAACCCTCATTGGCACCCCCCAGCTGATTGGCTTAAAGTAAATGTGGATGCTGCATTACTTTCCTCATATAAAGCTGGCATCGGAGGAGTGTTTCGTAACCACAAAGGAAGATTCCTTCTAGCATTTGGGAAACCGTACACACATTGGGATCTATCTTCCTTGGAATTATTGGCAACTCAATCCATTAAGGAGGTTTTGAAAGATTGGATGTTTAAATACAAAGGAATCATTATTGAAGGTGACAATCTGAATGTCATGGAATTCTTGAAGAAGTTTAAACAAAATGGAGACACATGGTATGAAGATATTCATCTTTTTAATGAGTTTAATAACATCATTTTCAATTGTGGTGATAGAGGTTGTAATAAGTTAGCTAATTTATGTGCTAACTATGGTACTTTGAGCTCTTTTACTTGGGAGGATGTTAGTATTAATAAGATTCCTTTTTTATTTATGTCTATGCTAAAGAAGGAATCTAGTGTTATGAGTCATTAGAGTTGAAATAACTTCTTAGCTCTTTTTCTTTAATGCTATTTGATGCACTTTCTTCAAATAAAATAGTTAACATTTTTTAATTATATTAAGTTTACATTAGAAGCACATGATCCACCTCTTTCCTCCTCTCTCTTTTGTTTAGTCAGACACGGCTTATGTAGAACTATGTTTTGTTGTTTAAAAACAAAATAATATATTTTCCATTTGTAACGGGCACAAGACAATGAGGAATAGGTCATTGTGCTGGTGCGTGGGATGGGCAGGGAAGGGCCCCACTGACCAGCAGATGTGCGGGCATCATCGTGCATGTGGAAAGGTTACGTGGGTTGGAGAACGCGGTTGGGAATAAGTTCGGTTTGCTGTAAAAAAGTATTTATAATTTTTGTTGATTTTTTTTTAATTTTTTGGCAGTAGCGATAATTTCAGCCAAAAATCCACTTGAAATTTTTCTGTTGGATTTTTTTTCATCGGTAATAGTTTTATGACACCCATTTTATAGTCAAAAAAATCTTTGTCGAAAGTTTGTTAGAAATCTTTATTATTGACGAATTTGGGTCATTTTCTGGTAGAAGTGATTGCCTGAAAAATGACAAATTTTTTATAATGGGCAAATAAAAATTTTTTATAATTTTGTCTACTATGATATATATATAACTTTGATGATGATTAAAAGTGTACTACAAATTCAGGGGGGAGCGAATTGGTCTGCCTTTTAAAATTACTAGTTTTATGAAAGCTTTTATGAATAAAAAAATACAAGAAATAATGATTAAGTAAAAATAGATAAATTAGATTTATACTAGTTTTATCATCTTGACCTACATTCTCTTCCCACATCTTCTATTTGGGAATTCTAGTGGCACTCTCTCCTTCTGCTCCGAGCAAGGGAAAAAGCCTCTCTTCATCATTGGATAATGGAGAAACATTACATCAATTCTCTCCTAAAAAATCCTTCAAACACTTGTGATATTAGTAGGTATCCATTTAGTGAGATTAATATCTAGGAGAGGCCATGGATCTTTAGTTTAGTTTTTATAGAAGTGTTATGGAGTATATGTGAAATGATGAAGAGTTTAAAGGGGTATTTTAGTAGAAATGTTAAGAAATATTTTTGGGTTGGTTGGGAAGATCACTTCAGAGAGTTACCTTTATGCGTGATAAATTACTTTAAATGATGGTGAATGGTTAGCTTAAGATGTGAACTTGTGATCTAGAGTTGATGGGTAGGGTTTGGTAGTCTTTAAGACGATGCTGAAGTATATGCATAAGAATAGGTCCAAGTGAATGGATCTAGTGCTCCCTATTTGGGATGATGGCTATATGGAAATTCTTATAAGAGTTTTATGAATTTGGTTACTAGTTTATTAGTCATAGAGGATTCTTAGGAAGTCAAAGAAGATTTATGAATAGTTTAGAGTAGGTTTTTTAGAGGATTTGTATGTAAAATAAAATAAATAAAGATAAATTACCTAATCTCACCAAAGAAAAAGAGTGAACTTATAGCCACCAATAAAATAAAGTGAACTTCCCCACAAAATTATTTCATACTAAACACTAAAAATTATAATGCATATAAGCCCATAGTTATAGGCATCATAAGACTAATTTTTGGGAAATAATGGAGAAAAAAATTGAGGGGGTTGGTGATGGTATAAATAAAGTTATGTTTTATATGTTAAATTTCCATTGAAACAATTTTTTTTTTAGTTGTGTTTGTGTAAGAAAATGCAAAAAAATTGCAAAAATTTTAAGTATGGCACAACGCTGCTACATTAGATACTACACCACCACGCACCATCTTGACACCATTGGAGCACCCAATATAGACATGGAGGCGCCCAGTCTCTATTTAACAACACCATAGTGTCAGAGGAGTTAGCAGTGCAAAGTCTAGTCTCTATTTACACAACACCGCGGTGCTTAGTTCCAACGCCGCCAAGCCAAGGGGGGTGCCACGTGGATGTCGCAATGCTCAACTATCAGCAACGCAGTAGTGCTACAGTTGTAACCATTCAGGGCATGATCTTCGAACAAAGCAATACTTCTATTCACTAAATAGTGGGTCCACATCAGCAAGTGCCGCAACAAAGGAAATTCTATAGTTTTGCAGCGTTAGTTCATTTTATATGCACCACAAAATAAGTGTCTCGAGCATCGTGGCACTAGAATTTTTTTTAAAAATTTTTTATTAGTTGTCCATCTGTAATGTTAGTAAGGGAGTTCAGTCAGTTAGTTAATTTTAGGCTTTATAGTGCTTCTCTGCAATTTCCTTAGTGACAACTAAGGAAATTTAGGGAGCACTAGATCCACTTAATGAGAGTGTTTGGCCAATGCTTGTGGAAGCAATTCTGTAAGTTCAAGGATGAGTGTAAAGGAGATCATTGAACCTATCCAGTAATGCCTTTTCTTTTATACTTTCTTTCTTTTATGTAAGTAATGAAAATAAGTTTGATTTACTTATTTTTTATGTCTGGCTAAAATCTATAATTTAGTATTAATGGTGTAAATAAAGTGTAGAGTACTAATAATTTCTCTTACTTAATAATTTAATGATATTTTCAACATACTAGGTCTTCATTTAATGCATATAGTGGCTATATTTGTAGTTATTATCACGTGTAATATAGATCCTAAAAATATGAAAGTAGGCATAACTAGGTATATTATATTGTTATGATGCAAGCATAAGAACAGGGCTTGACATGTACTATATATATATATATATATATTATAATGAGGGGGTTTTAACATTATATGATTTATTTACTCTACTATGATTTTCATAGGGTGGCATACTATGAGAGTTTAGAGTGGCATTAAGGTTTAAAGGGTTTAATCTATCCTTTGTATCTTCACATTTGACCTAGTGGTTAGTGATTTATATACTCTGAATAGCATTAATATAAAATAGTATCAATAGGAAACATATTATATTTACATTCCATCAATCCAAAATATTTTATCCAAATAGTACTTCATTTTAATTTTTATTTGTTTTAAACTAAGTGATTGAATGTTCACCAAAACTTAGTTTTATTGAGTAGGATAATTATTGTAATTTTAATAGACACTACTTGAATTTATAAGTAAGCATTCTTCCTCATGGATTGATACTCTACTCTACCACTATATTGCTTGATTCAATATATATACTTATGTATATTAAGTAGGATTTTATAATTTTTATATTAAATAAAACCTAAGTATTGCTTAGGGATTGATAAAGCCCTAAATTATTTTCACAATTCTTTAGATTACTCCACCAACCCCATCAATCTTTTGGTGCCGTTGTTGAGGAAGATTTTGTTTTACTTACACAATTACTATATTGTTGAATCAATTACATAATTAGTCATGCTATATTCTTTTATTTTATTTTACTCATTACCAAATTGTGCTTGTAAGCCTAAAAAGCCATAGAAGGGAACCATTGCTAGATTTTGAAAATAGATGACCCTGTTCAAGACTTAAATCATTTTAGACCTCTTAAGGATTTTGCAAACCCTATGGTAGATAGAATTTATTAGAGAATAAATTAAACTGCCATCCAAGATTATAATTTTGAATTAAAACCTGTAATCATTAAGATGGTATAAAATTCTCTTTTTGGGGGAACTTCCAATGAAGATCCTAACATATATTTAAAATTTTTTTCTAGAAATTTATATAATATTTAAGTAGAATGGTGGTAGAGATGATGCCATTAGACTTAGATTGTTCCTATTTTATCTAAGAGACAAGGCAAATGTGTGGTTAAATTCTTTACCCCTAGACTTTATTACCACATGGAATGAGTTAGCTCCTAAATTCTTTGGAAAGTATTTTCCGCCTTCTAAGACTACTATACTTAGAAATGATATTTTTTATTTTACATAGTTAGAAGGAGAATCTATTTATGAGATTTAGAAGAGATTCAAGGAGATTCTTAGAAATTTCCCTCACCATCCCATATTTGATTTGTTGATAATTCAAACTTCTTATAATGGATTGGTAGGATTTCTTAGAGCCATAATTGTTACTACAACTAAAGGTTCTTTAATGTTAAAACCTTTTGAGGTAGATTATGAATTAATTAAGGAAATGATAATAAATAATTTCTAGTGGATTGTTGATAAGGTGAATCTTAAGAGAGTGGCAGGTGTCTATAAAAATGATTCTTTATCCATTTTGACATCACAATTTGCAGCAATATAAAAAAAAGTTGAGCATTTTAGGCTTAAATTTGATTCATCTTTACATTTGGATGATAAAAGATTAATGAAAGAGAATGATATCGAAGGCATTAAAAATATAAATTTGATGGGAAGACAAAATAATACCTATAATCCAGGTTAGAGGAACCACCCCAATATTAGTTGGTCAAATAATAATAGTGGAAATAAATGGAATTCTGGTCAAATTAACCTAGGAGCAAATTTGAATAAATAAAATCAAGCTAATAAAAATCCAAGACTAGCTTATCCCTTGGATTTAATAAAGGCAATCAATATAGAACTAGGTAGACGACATTAGAAGATGTGGCCATGCAATTGAGAACTCAATTACAAAATTAAGACACTTCAATTAAAAACATGGAAAATCAATTAAGTCAGCTTGCAACTTCTATGAGTAATAGGGCCCTAGGATCTTTACCTAGTAACATCAAAGTTAATCCTAAGGAGAATGAATGAGATACCAATGGGATTCAACTGAAGAGTAATAATCATTCACCTTATCCAAATGGAAAATCTTGGTAAGTATGCCTGAAGACTATAAACTTAGCAATGCTTAGGAAGAAACCTAACCTTAGGGCCATAATAATTAAAATTTCAAAATGTTCAAACTTCCCTCCCACTAAAATCTATAAAATCTATTAGGAGTAAGTTCACTTTTGAATCCTTACTTACCATTTAGTGATCATAAACTACTTTCTTCTCATAAAAATTCAATTCTAAGTGATGGGAAGGATCAAGCATAAACCCTCTTCTTCAAAAAACCAAAATGAAGATCATAATAAGAATGAGGATTCTTTTTCACTTCACCACATACAAAGTTATGCTATTATTACTAAGTTGAATGATTTCAAAGGAATTTTTATTACATCTGGTGTCTTGACGTAGCTCTACATTCGAACGCCAGTAAAATGGTGCCATGTGCTCCTAATTTAATCGTGCTGCCCGACGACCTGACCCGAACACAGACCCGATATTGCTATGTATTGGCTGATTTGTGCAGACTGGGATATTGCTAGGTATTGCTCAGTAATGAGAAATATCATTCTATCAATACCAATACCTAGAAATACCGAGCAATACCCAAATTTTGCTAGGTATTGCTCGATATTGCTAGGTATTGCTCGGTATTGCTAGGTATTGGTCTTGATAGAGCAGTATTTCTCATTATTATCAAGTAATACCTAGAAATACTGAGCAATAACTAGTAATACACGGACATATAAATAATGGGTTCCAGTCCAGGTCAAGTTGTTGGGCCACAAGATAAAGAGTAGGAGCACGTGACGACATGTTATTGGTGTCCGGACGTAGAGCTACGTCATGACACCAAACATAATAAAATTTGTGCGGAAGATGCATGTAGGTAGAGTTTTCGTGCATAATTATTTTTCCTGGGCAAGATGTCATGCTATTTGATTATAGGGAGAATTACTATCATGGAAAAATAAAAATTGGATGGAATGACCCTTATACTATCATTAGAATTTTTCTTAATGGTTCCATTAAGATAAAGGATAAAATTTTTTTGCAAACCATAAAAGTCAAGAGATATAGATTGAAACCATGTGATTTAGAGGAGTGAAGAAATATTAAGGATGTGTATGTGTATTTTGTTCTACTTTATTATTTTGTAGAAGAGAAGGAAGTGATGGGAGAAATTGGATTGTGTTTTGTACTTAATTGAAAAATTTAGCTTTGAGAGTCATTGTTGAACTTTGGGTGACTTGTCCACTGGTTATCTTGTATATGTGTTATATTTAATGTTATGTTATAACATATTTGTGTTCAACATATGTTTTATGTGCCCTTTATCATTCTTTTAAAAGCATGTATTTATAGTGTTTGGTTATGTATTTATTTACATTTGAGCAAATTTCCATTATGTTTAATTGTTATTGTCCTCCAATTATTTTTATATTTTGGTTTTTTAATTAACCCTTATAAAAATGATAATTAAAAACTACATAAAATTAAGATAATAATAAAATCATAAATCCTAATTTGAATGAACTTTGTTTATACTTCATGGTTGAAAAAGCTAATACTTAACTCATTAAATAATTTAAGCTATTATCTTAATTTGAATTTATAACCTATTCCTTTATGAAATTAACTTTTAAAATTAAAAGATGAATAATTAGTATAAAAATTAGATATTAGTATATTAAACTTTAAAATCATAGCTAACCTGAAGATGGAATTTATAATCTCATCAAGTACTTATATTAAAATCATTAAGATTATATGAATGTCTAAACTAGAAGCTTATATTCAAAATTATTAATTATGTACTCCATAAAAGAAAAAGAAAAAAAAACTATATTATAGTTCTAAAAAAAGGAAAAGAAAAAGATGAGTATATTGAAAAATTTGTATCAGTGAATGCTTAAGATTGTAAATATAATCTTATAAAAAAGCTATAAATGATACGATGGGAAAGTTAATATAAGTGATGGTCAAATAATGAAAGTATAATTTAACTACAACTATATCTAATCATTAAAATTTAATTATTCACTTCAACAATTATAAGTTAATGATTATATTTATAAGTTATAATTTCGAATTAGTGTGTAACTTGAATGATTGATTAGTTTAACTATTAGTATTTTTCCAAAGTAGAAGTATATCCTTATTCATTTTTACTAATTCAAGATAGAGATGCACTATCCTATATTTTAATAATGTTGGATTATAATTTTTTTATTTTGGTTAATTACTTAATGAGAATTGCAAAAAAAAATTTTATTTGAGGACAAGGAAGAGTTTAAGCTAGAGAGGATTTGATGAGTATAAATAGTATTATTTTTTATATGTTAAATTACTAGTGAAACCATTTTATTTTAGTTGCATTTTTGAAGAAAAATATAGGGAATGTGTAAAAATTTTAAGTATGGTACATTGCCATAGTGTTGGACACTACACCATCGCGGTGCCATCATTGACACCATCGAAACACCCAATATAGACATGGCTACACCTAGTCTCTCTTTAACAGCACCACAACATTAGAGGAGTAAGTACTACAAAGTTTAATCTCTGTTTGCACAGCATTGTAGTGCCAATTTCTAGTGCTGCCGACTCTAAGGGAGTTCCACGTGGATGTCACAACATTCAATCATCAACAACACCGCATCGCTACATTTGTATCTATTCAAGATATGATCTTCCAGTAAAGAGATGCAACTATTCACTAAATATCTGGTCCACATCAGCAAGCACTACAATGGAGGAAATCCTTCAATGTTGTGGCAGTAGTTCATTTTATGGGCACTGCGGCTCAAGTGTCTCAAGCGTTACGGTGCTAGAATCCCTTTTGTGTTTTTTATGAATAGTTTGTTTGTAATGTTAATAAGAGAGTTCAATCACTTAGTTAATTTTAGTCTTTACAGTGCTTCTTTATAATTTCCTTAGGTGTGATAATTAAGGAAATTCAAGGAGCACTATATCCATTTCATAAGAGTGTTTGGTCAATATTTATGAAAGCAATTATCTAAGTTCAAGGAGAAGTGGATAGGAGATCATCAAACCCATACAGTGATATATTTTCTTATGTACTTTTTTATTTTATATAATTAATTAAAATGAGTTTTTTCACTTATTCATCATGTCTGACTAAAAAGCCTAGTTTTGGATTGATGGTGTAAATAAATTGTGGAGCACTACTAATTTCTCTTTATCAATAATTTAATGATATTTTTAATATACAAGTTCTTCATTTAATGCACATAGTGTCCATATGTGTAGTTAATATCATGTATAATGTGGAGCCTAAAAATATGAAAGCAAGCACAATCAGGTAAATTGATTTGTTTGATGCAAGCATATGCATAGTGCTTAATATATACCAAATTTATATAGATGAATTATAATGAGGGGGTTTAACATTACATATTTTACTTACTCTTCTATGATTTTTATAGGGTGACAAACTATGTGAGTTTAGAGTGGTATTGAGGTGGAAGGGTTTAATATATCCTTTATCTCTTCATGCTTGACTTAGTGGTTAGTGATACATATGCTTTGAATCATATCAATATAAAAGAGAATCATTAAGAAAAATATTATATTTTCATTCCATCTATCCAAAATATTTTATCCAAATAGTGTTTCATTTAATTTTTTATTGATTTTAAACTAAATGGTTGAATCTCCAAAAAAAACTTAGTTTTATTGGGTAGGATAATAGTTATAATTGTAGTAGATAGTACTAGTATTTGAAATAAGCATTCATCTTCATACTCTACTATACTATATTACTTGATTAAGCATGTATATTTGCATATATTAATTGGGATTTTTACAAAATAAAACCTAAGCTTTATTTAGGGATTGATAGTGCCCTAAATTATTTTCATAATTTTTTATGTTACTCCATCACCCCCATCAATTGGTCAACATAAAAGAAGAGCTCCAACTACCCATTTTTTAATTAGTCATCCCTACCTAACCCTTTTATGAATGACCATAAAAGATTCTAGATGGTAAATAAAATATAAATTATTATTTAAATATTTAAGTTTGTGTGCTCATTATTGGGCTCTTGACTGGGCTCTAAACTATTTAGTTCTATTATTTTCTTGGGCTTTGGTCTTGGTTCTTGTAGTTAAGCTTTTATCTTGATTATCTGTATCCATATTATGTGCTACATCACCTAGCCTACAATGCTATATTTAGAGTATTTAGACCCAAACTCTTTAACATTGCTTATTTCTTTAAGAAGGTTTCACACCCTA